GAGGTTGCTGTGAGCTATGATACCATAGCATTCTAACCAGGGCAATTGAGTAGGAAAAAAAAAAAGATTCTAGTCTAGAGATTCTGATTCAACTGGTTTGAAGGGGATTGGTATAAGATTGTTATATAGTTTTAAGCTCCTTAGGTGATTTTTATGTATAGCTATATAGTTGAAAAGCACATATTTGGACAATGAACACTTTCTGGTCTTTAAGTCAGAGAAAGACACTTTCTGTCTCTTTGTTTAACTTGGAAAAACACACAGGATATTATAGAAGATTCTATACAAAACAGACCAATACCAGCTAAGTCTGACATTTTGATACTTAAAACGTAACATTTCTTTTTCTGTAGGATTTTAACTTAGTCTACATTTTAAATTTTTGGAGCTGTACTTTCTTCTAAACACTGTGTAAGGGTGTTTTGACTGTCTTTTGTATCTAGTATATTATTTGACTGGTAATGCTTCAGTATCACAAGGATGTGAGCACAAGGAAAATTAGATAGGGAATACACAGCTACTACCTCTGCTTTCTGGTTCTCTTGGCATATGTTTTTAGTGCCTGAATTCTTTCAGAGCCAAAGCTCAAAGCCAACACAAATGAAGCAGCTGCAATGCATTGTGTTATATTCACATGAAAGGCCAACTCAGAACACTGTGTCATGGGGAGAGAACACTCAGCCGAGCACCTGGCCTGGAACACAAACAGCTATCGCTTAAGCCAAAGCTAAATTGAAGATATCATAAAGTATAGGTGATAAAAAATCATAACTATCAATAGTCACTTTATAAATAGAGTATATGAAAAGTCTGTTCCCAAAACTCAGGGATTGGTAAACAAATATATATAATTACAAAATGTGATCGTTTCCCTTTTCTGAATTAAATTTAAGTATATACCTGGATAATTTTTCATTAGTTTACCAAATTGTTCCTTATCACCTCTGTAATATCATTTAAATGTGGTTTTAGCAACATGTAAAATTTACAATGGATGTTTTATTTATAAAAACCAGAAATATACAAAGGCAAAAAATCTAGGAGGATATTAAAGAAAAAATGAGAAACATGACCTTTATAAGAGGCAAAAACTTTAAATGAATAAAATTGTTTCTGAAGCATTTAACAGTCAAAACTCAGATCTGCAAAAGCATCGTGAACTAACTACACATATGTATTTGTACCTAATGAGTTCAAAGAAATAGCCATTGGGGTGAAAAAAAAAGAAATAGCCATAGAAACAAATCCTTAAATAAATTATCTGGTCCAGCATGGTGCCTCATGTCTACAATCCTAGCACTTCGGGAAACCAAGGCAGGAGGACTGCTTGATGTTAGGAGTTTGAGACTAGCCTGAGCAAGAGGGAGATCCTGTCTGTATAAAAAAAAATGGAAAAGATCAGCAAGGTGCAGTTGCACATGTCCCAGATAGTTAGGAGGCTTATGCAGGACTGCTTGAACCCAGGAGTGGGAGGTTTGCACTGGCTTCTGGATCTCCCTAAGGCTAACTACCACTCTTGAAAAATCAGTACTGTCAGCTAAAGGGCCAAGGGTGGGTGCTAGGCTGGCCATCTATTGAATGATAGCTCCTTACCTATTATCCTGGGCTGGGACAGGGACAGCAAGAGGAAAAGGAATCACTGAGGGGGAAGAACCAAGTAATTTACCAATATTTCACAGTACTTATACAACTTTGTTAGCTCTTGAGCCAAAGATATATATTCCAATAAACACATCTCTAAGGCTTCAGCAGCCAGCATAATTTAGTTAAGCTTGACAAACCAACCCACTCAAGAGTCTTGCTTCAACCCACCTTCCCAGCCTTCTCGCTTGCCATTTTTACTCACATACTTTCTGATTCCTATCTCACCTTGCTTTCTATATGCCCTGGAAGCATCAGTCATCCCATGAAGTCTGTCTCTCCCAAATGCTATTTCCTCAATGTGGAATACTCTCCTTCCTCTGTCAATTATATGCTTTCAGGCTTTGAAACACAGCTTAAATATTGCTCCTCGTCAAAGCCTTAACTTATCCACTGGATTATTAATAATTTGTGTCACTAGGTTTACCTATCTCTTCATGAATCTGATTATTTTTCTGTCTCTAGCTAGCTACTTGATTATAGGCTCTATGGGAGTAAAAAATTCTATTGTAGTTCATTTCCCCGGTATCAAACCATACAAACTCCAAGAAGGTACAAATTAACTGGTGAATTTAGCAACACTCTGCCCTAAGAAAGCATTCAATAAATGTGCCATTATAAATAATTTCAGTCAGAACTTACTAAAATCTATCTCATCTGCTTGTATAAGGTGTGAAAATGGAGCTGGAAAGACGAAGGCCCTTTTTAGAGTCCACTATTATTTATTTATTTATTTTTGCTGTCAATGAGTTGTGAGCCCATTGCTCATCAGTATAGTAACGTCTGAATCCCAGAATGCCTTGTACCTGTGCTAAAATATTGTTTCTGTTTCTTCATAAAGTTAACATGGAAACAATCTTCATTGAGATATTATATAAATTACTTAAACATTTCAAAGTTTGGCTCAGTTTGTACTGCTCCATTGTCCATTGTGATATAAATTATAAAATATTTTGAGGTGACCTGAAAATTAAACATTCTTCTAATCAGCAATATATTTAATTGATCTAATTCATATTGGCATAATAAGGAAAATTTTAAAAATGCAATGTATTTCTACAGAGACATCCAAGTACTGCAGTGCCTCATTTATCCAGTTTTTGGTTTCTCTTAAAAATACATAAATTATCCAGCAAGATTAAAGAATCAGGTACTTCGCAAACCAGACTCTCTGAGTAATAAGTTTTATAAACATCTCATATCTTCAAGATTTTAAATCTTTTCAATGGATATGTATCACATTATATTACACAGTCCCACTTAAAAAAAAAACAGCACAACAAATATAATCTCACTTTTTCTCAATGATTATCATTATCAATGTCAATTTCATGTGCTATGCACCATCCTGGAATATAATGGTACCCTAATGCGCTATTAATAAATGTAAGGCTATTTGCCAAGTTGATTCAGATTATTTTTATGATCCTCTGCCTCCTCCCTCTACTTGCTTTTTTTTTTTTTTGAATTGTTGTATCAGTGTGCTCTTCTGGTTATTTTTCAAAACTGTCTAGGTAAGGGCCTATAGTGTATGAACTTTGTGACTGCAATTTGCTAATAGGAGGCCCATCTCTCATTACTTCAAAATCCAAGGTGGAGGAGATTGTTGAAAGACTAACAATTGAGTATGTGTTTTGTAAGCAGTGCTAGCTTTCATGTAGATCCATCATTGCTTTATAACTTTTACTCAAGAATAGTCTTATTATTAAACTTTACTTGTCAATGTATTATTTAAATACAAATGAAAATTATGATTCTTAATTAATTCAAATTATAAAAGCCTGGGCATTAACTTCAGACTCAATATAGGATATACTTCAATGTTATCCTAAAAACAGAGGGATATTTTTCTTCAGTTATTAACTTTTTTCCTTAAAAAAATTAAGAATTCAGGGAGGCGCCTGTGGCTCAAAGGAGTAGGGTGCTGACCCCATATGCTGGAGGTGGTGGGTTCAAACCCCGCCCCAGCCAAAAAAATTGCAAAAAAGAAAAAAAAATTAAGAATTCGTCATTCAGTTCTAGGATGATTATGTAAAAACTTCAAATTCTAACTCAATCTTCTCACCAAACTTTATACATAGATAGTCAGTTTTATTCTACTGATTCCTGCATCAGCGGGGGAAAAAAGCAAAGGAGGGGAAAGAAAAAAAATAGGTAGCTATGTCTATGGAACAAAGAAATTCACAAAAGGCATTAAATATGATATTTTAAAACTCCTGTCATATTTGTTCAACATACGCTTGTGATCTTTAAAAATGAAAAAATCTGTAAAAATTTAAAAGGTGTTATAGTAGCAAATACATACAACTCCTCAAGGCCCTGAGATACAACAAGGAGAAATCTTGCTCTTCAGGGATAAAATTAAATACCCATTTTGATTATCTTACACATGACTATCAGTTTATATATCATAAAAAATCAGTTCTACTTAAAAGTGTATCTCAACTAAAAGAACAAAGAAAGACATATCATATTAACTTGGAGCAATTAAGGGAAAAAAACACCTTTTTTAAAAAATAGAAGTCTATTTCTACCTTACACTGTTTTTCACTGTGCCTAGAATGACGACCGACTTCATGAAGCAATTCTTTTTAATTGTAAAAATAATAAGTTTTCATAAAATGATATGATTAGTAAGTAAGCATGTCTTACCCAATAAACAAAGAAAAGAGATGATTTAAAACCTGGGTTAATCAGAAATATATCAAAAAGGTCCAGATCAGGACTACAACCAGTAGTCAGTTGACCTGATCACTTATGGCCCTTCCATCTCAGCATTCTTTTGTATTTAATACTGATTCTCAGTACCTGCTCAGTTTAAGTGGGTTACTTTTTCAGGGTGTTTCTTAAGCACTTAGATAGTCAAGGCTTAAACAAAGCACAGACCAAGACTTGGGATTAGAATTCACAACTAATTCTCTGTGAATGTGCTCTCCCTCTTTGAGTCTGCTTATGCTCACAATCTGAAACAGAAAAATTTCTATTCCCCTCCTTGCCCTGTTAAAAAACCCTAAACTCCCACCAGCATCTTCACAGAATTTTAACAGGTTTAGCAATTTGGTAAAAGGACATCCGCAAAGATTTATACTCTATAGTTCAGAGGAATGTGAACTTAATGTATCTAGTTATATGCTTTAAATATCCCATATATGAAAATATTTTCTAAAACCTAATTAATTTTATATTGAAAGTAGTAGACATTAACCATAGTTAATCTACATGTTGATAACTCTGCCCCTGATCTCAGTATCATAAAGAAATTCTTTAAGAGAAAATGTCTGCATTCCTTAACAACTACCTCTAACTCTAAGAAGAAAAGAGAAAAGTAAAATAATCTCATAAAGAAAACGAACACTTACTGGTACTTTGAAGGGTGAGGTATTTGCAGTGTCCATGGAATTAGGTTTCTCTGATGTACTGGTCCCTGAGATACTCCGTCTGCGAGGGGACCTTTCTGCTGGCACCTCTGGAAAAAAGGAAAGTTGAAACACTAAGAAGCTAACATTTAGAATCTTTCACTAAACAGTAAAATTCTTGTTTTTTGTAATAAGTCAGTGTGATTTAAAGGTATATTTATTCTATCTCTATATACTTTGTGGAGTTTGAACTATCAAGATACTATAGAGACTTGGTCACAAAGAATCTGCTTCAGTGTGACAACTTATATCTGTATCCATGCATACATAAAAAATAATTTCCTCTGAGCTATGATTAATACTTTTAAGTTCACTTAATATTTACATCTCATAGTATTATCAACCCACTTTTCTATTTGTCAGCAATGTAGGAGTTAACAGAATGAAATGAAATTTCTAATATTCTTGTGAACAAAATAAAAGTCTAGTGTTGCACATGAGTTGATAGTGTTTGCACAAAGGTCAAAGTTCGGTCCTGTGCAGATAACATGATTCACTAGACCGCAACGAAAGGGCCATGAGAAGACTGAAAGCTGCTGCCAAGATAAAATAACATATATGCCTATGCAGATATAAAAATAGATCAGCTTTTCCTTGTTCGGCAATATGACCTTACTAAGATCTTACTCTGGAATCCTAAATCTGTTCTAACTGATCTAACAAATTTATGATTTTGCAGATGATGTGAAATTCTCCTGTTTAGTTACTATATACTGTATTAAGGCTACATTTAAAGATTCATAAAATGATATATACACACACACATATATGCACATACACACAGATGATATATACATATTATACCTTTATCACAACTGCTTCCCATCGCCACTTCAACTGACAGACATATAGGAATCCAGCTTCTCAGATAACATTAGATAATCTCAACATGGACAAGGAAAAAAAAAACACATCCTAAAAAAAGTATTCTGTGTTATCTTCCGGATCTTAGAAAATAAGGAGTAAATCGAGACTCCGGAGACTGACATTTTGATTCCTGCTGTTCTCCCTTTAAAAGACAGATGCAGTTTAAACTTCCATTTCTGGCCTCCTGGCCCCTGGGATCCGTGCTACTTCCACTTAAGAGAAAGCATTTTTTTTCTCTCTCGCTCCCTCCCGGTGTCTTGCTCTTCCCCCTCCCTCTCTACAGCTTGCAGAGAGCAAGCGAGAAAGAAACACACAGGACTGCAGCTATTCAATCAATCGTTCCAACTGCACATCCTCATTAGTTACTTTCAGGCTATTAACAGACATCCAACCACTGCCTCCTCTCAGTTACAGAAAAATTTCACTGTATTACATGAATCTACAGCAAGGAAAAACATTTACTGAAATTTATATTCAGCTAGTGCCAAAAGGACACCATTTTACACAGACCCAGTAATGCACACAAATCAATCCCTTCTATGAAAATCCAATTGGAAGTGCTTATCCTATTACTATCTTTGCATGCTGGACACTGATTTTCTTTTTCACGACTAATCATATTGTCTCAGTGACTTTTTCACCAGTAAAATGTAAGCCAGATTGCAGCATTCCCAGTAAGGGAGAGGTTGACAATATAACGTCTTATATGCCTGCAGTGCAAGAGAGTTCCATGCTATTACTGTATTCTAAAAGTATCATGAATAATGAACTCTCTCAACTTCTAACCATCAGTGGTTAAATGAGCCTTAATATAAAAGCCATTTTCAGAATTAGGCACACATGACTTCTAACGCACATCCCTGAAAAATGGCAGTATAATTAGCTCAGATTCATGGGAATGGCACAAAGCACTGAATTTAAGCAAATCAGCTTGTTTGAGCACACTGAACCGCAAAACCTTCAGACTGCAGGAATGACTTTATGGAGTGACTATCCAAGTTGGGGGATTCTATATGGAGGAGGGGCAAGGCAGAAGGGAAAGGGGGCTGGTGAAGGCAGAAGAAAATCTCGTCTTTACTCTGTTAAGTACCTATAAAGGTGACTTCTTATTTCAAATAAGAAGATACAGTAGATTGTATATTATGCTATAGTATATTTTAGTCTCTGAATATTTGATGAAAAAATCAATTTTGGAGAAAAATAAGTTTCATTAGCTGTGATAAAATGATCTAGTACACACTTTCCTTAATTTGTAATGTTCTGGCTAAGGAAAAAAACTGAAACTCATTTCCTCACTTTCTTCCAAATATCCAATTTTAGTTCTTAGGGATATGAACTCATTACAAAAATTCATTTCAATGCTTTTAACTATTTGAAATTACATTGGCTAAAATGAGCAACCACATTTCAAACTCTAGTAAACACAGTATTCGTTGTACTTTCTTTATCTTTTTGATTCTCCCTCTGTATCATGGAGAAAAAAATCACAACTCTGATGTAGGTTGTAGGATATTACTAGGTCCAGAAAGAAGAAATTAAATTATTCTCGAAGTTTGAACAACTTCACTAAAGAAGGGAGAGGAAGAAAATGAGATAAGGAAATCAATTACAGAAAAAAGAAGTCTACACTATGTTGCTTTCCCAATCCCCACAATATAATTTTTCTGCTGATGTAGAATAGACCTTTGAAATATCCAAGTTCTTTAGTTTTCAGAAGATTCATAACTATTTTGAAGCACAGAGGAAAATATACACCCCTAGACCAATGTCTGCTTAGAAACAAGGTAGCAACATTAGCAAGAGCAGAACAAACAACCTGTCAAATGAGTCTCAGGCAGACCTGCATATTAAATTGGTTAAATTGCATATTAAATTGGTTTATAATCTCTCAGCAACAAGGAAAGTTGCTACTACACTCTTGGAGTTACATTTATGCTGAGTTTGAAGGAAAATATATACTAGTTCTAGAAGCCATATCCTCTACCTCCACTCTTGCTACATACTATTGCACTATTTTCACCTGCAGTAAAATTAATGTTCTCTTCATAGTCACAATGTTTAGTTAGTCATTTAAAATATGCTTATTTTCTAAGACTGAGACAAGAGACATACAGTATTATTTTGGTAGATAAAGACCTGAAACTGCTTCCTTCACTTTATCCTCTAAAAAATAGTATTTTTCATCTTCAAATTGAAAAGCAAAAATGTTATGAAAAGCCTCATTAAGTTTTGAATTTATCTCTTCATTTCCTTTGCCATTAGAAATGACCTGAGATGAGCTGATGACTTACAATGATGAGGGATAACCTCCAATACAGCTTCATACAGGATGACGTATTGAACAAAGAAAACATTTGGATGTTTTTCTTGGCAGCTCTACCAGCTATCTGTATGATTCTGTGTAAGCCATTTCACCTTCCTTGTCTTGGCCGTTATCATTTAATAAACTGGGTTATCCAGACCAACAGAGATAAAGACAAGATCAATGAGTTTATATTCTTTGATGCAAAATTAGTTTTTTGGAAGAAAGGGACTCTTTAAATCTAAGGTGCATTAGCATTATAATGCCATTTTCTCAACATACACATTTTCCTCTATGTCAGAGTGCTCTCCTTGAAAAGTGTAGCAGAGAAATTGTCAATTGGATAATAATGAGGCAAAAGTACTTTTGGTGGAGGATGTGCCTGTTCAACAAACAAATCAACACCTGCCTTAGAATGTCACAGTGTATTCATAAACTTTATTTTACTTACCAGGGAGCAAATGGGAAAAAATTCCTGGATTTCTTATTAAAAAAAAGGAAATAATCAGCTTGGTGCCTGTAGCTAGGGCTACAGGAAATAATCAGCTACGGCACCAGCCACATACACCAGAGCTGGTGGGTTTGAATCCAACCTGGGCCTGCCAAACAACAATGACAACTATAACCAAAAAATAGCCAGGCATTGTGGCAGGCGCCTGTCATCCCAGCTACTTGGGAGGCTGAGGCAAGAGAATCGCTTAAGCCCATGAGTTTGAGGTTG